CATCAGGTAACAATGGCGTCCTTCAAAATGGAAGGAACTGCCAAGAAATGGTTTCGTTAGATACAACGCCAAAGATAACTGGCCGGTTGACACCATTTAATCGGCATGATTCGACGACGATTCAGAGTAATAGAAATCGAATCGCCAGAAGGGCAGTTGTCCAAGCTGGTTCAGATCACGACAGTGGAAGATTATCAAACACACTTTGAAGATATGGCTCTGCGTACAACCAACCTCTCGGATGAGTTCCTTATACCATGTTTTGTGTCTGGGCTTCGTCCAGATATTAAAAATGAGGTCTTGGGACATCGTTCTAATTCAATGAGTGAGGTGCTACCTTTGGCTCAATTTTATGAGGCCAAGTTCAATGAGACACGAAAGGTAATGAACCGCATGCCAAATATGAAGCTACCTCATCTTTTACCTACGCCAACAACATGTCCATCGATGTCTAAAGCACAAACAAGCCATCCACTACCATCATAACACTATATAGTATTTTCTACTCCTATGCAACCTCGTCGAATTTCTGCCGCTGAAGCTCAGTCACGGCGTGAGAAAGGGTTATGTTATTATTGTGACGCTAAATTTATCCCAGGCCACAAGTGCAAAGATCCTCAGTTATTCTTGTTGGATGATGAATTGGAGGATGAGCAACCAGTTCAGACCACTGTGGTGATGACAAATGAGAGCAATAAACTAGAAAGCTCCGATGATACTACACGCGAACAATCTTTGGTCTCCTTCAATGCTCTAGCAGGCTGCTTAACTCCTAATACTCTTCGCGTTATGGGGGAGGTTCATGGACGCCAGGTGCGAATTTTGATTGACAGTGGAAGTACCCATAACTTTTTCTTCCCCAGTGTTGCTCGTAAAGAAAAAGGATGGAACATGGCGATTTTGCGTGGACTATCGTTCTTTAAATGCAATTACAGTTAAAGATAAATTTTTTATCCCTACCGCCGATGAATTATTTGATGAACTGGGTAATGCTCACTTCTTCTCTAAGTTAGATTTGCTTGTTGGATATCATCAAATCCGAGTCAAAGCTGAAGATGTTTCGAAAATGGCATTCTAATCACATGACGGACATTACGAATTTCTCGTAATGCCATTCGGATTAACAAACGCGCCATCCACTATCCAGGCAACAATGAACGATCTGTTCGCCTATTTCTACGTAAATTTGTTTTGATTTTTCTGGATGACATACTTGTGTATAGTCGAAATTGGTAGGAACACTTAAACCATGTACGACAAGTGCTACAAACACTGCAAGAGAATGGTTTTGTTGTAAAACACAACAAATGTACATTCGGACAAACCTCAGTTGAGTACCTGGGTCATATAGTTTCTCGAGAGGGTTTATTAGTAGATCATTCAAAGGTTGAGGCAATAAAAGCATGGCTGATTCCTACAACGATCAAGGATGTGAGAAGTTTTCTAGGCATCGCAGGATATTATCGCAAATTTATTAAAGGATTTGCAACCATTGCAACGCCAATCTCTGATTTACTTTGCAAAGGACATCCATTTGAATGGACTACAACAACTCAACACGCCATTGATAAGTTGAAATTATGTCTTTGTTCTACTCCAGTGTTGGGATTACCACAATTTGACAAAGAATTTCATGTCGAAATTGATGCTTCTGGAACAGGGATATGAGCCGTCTTAACCCAAGAGGGTAAACCTTTGGCATATTTTAGCCAAAAACTTAACCCAATAATGTAAGTTGCTTCTGCTTACAACCTTGAAATGTTTTCCATCACCCAGGTAGTAGGGAAATGGCGACAATATCTAGTCGGACGAAAATTCAGCATCATTACTGATCAAAAATCATTACGCGAATTAAACCAACATACTATACAGACTCCAGAACAACAAATATGGCTGTCAAAATTAATCGGGGTATGATTTTGAGATCCGTTATCGACCAGGGAAGCTTAATAATGTTGCTGATGCATTATCTAGAGAAATCGAAGCTACTCTCATGGCTTTCTCTCATCCACTATTTGGCATTATTGATGATATACGAGCATCAAGTTAGAAAGATGTTGATATCCAGCATATTCGGGATAACATTTTAAAGGATGGGACTGACTATGATGGTTATGAAGAACACGAATGTTTGATGTTGGTTTGAGGAAGAATTATGGTTCCTCATGAGGCGACATTGTGATCTCTATTATTAAGAGAATTTCACAGTTCACTAATGGGGGACATGCTGGTATTACTCGTACATTTCAATGATTAGCTGCCAATTTCTACTGGAAGGGTATGAGGAGAGACGTTCGCCAGTTTGTCTCTGAATGTCAAGTTTGCCAATGTATGAAAAGCACTAGTTTGGCTTCAGCTGGTCTTCTTCAACCACTTCCCATTCCCAACCAAGTATTTGAAGATATTTCTTTAGACTTCATTGTAGGCTTGCCGAAATCTAATGGGAATGAGACTATATTGGTGGTGGTCGATCGACTCACTAAATAGGGACATTTTTTCGCACTACCGAGGCACTTTGATAGCAAATATATGGCTAACATTATGGTTCAAGGGATCGTAAAACTTCATGGAATACCAAGAACAATAATTAGTGATAGGGATCGATTTTTTTTGAGCGAATTGTGGACAGAAATAGCCAAGCTACAGGGAACAGAGTTGTGTTTAAGCTCATCTTATCACCCACAAACTAATGGGCAAACCGAAGCTTCGAATCGGTGTCTCGAGATGTATCTTCGTTGTATGGCAGGGGATGATCCGAGCAAGTGGGAACAATACTTAGCATGGGCTGAATACTAGTATAATACGACTTTTCAGACCTTAGCTGGTATGACTCCTTTTCAAGCTTTGTATGGGCGTGAACCTCCCACCATCGTTCACTACCTAGAAGAAAGTTCTACTAATGCTCAGGTAAATCGTGACTTACAAGAGCGTGATGCGTTACTTAGGGTCTTGAAACACAATTTAAGTCAAGCACAAGGACATATGAAAACTCAGGCGGATAAGCATCGACGCGAACTGGAACTATAAGAAGGTAGCTGGGCTTTTGTGTGTTTACAACCTTATAGACAATTGTCGTTACGACTACGAAAAAATCAGAAGTTTGGTCCACGATTCTTTGGCCCTTACCGAGTTACAAAACGTATTGGACCTGCCGCTTACAAGCTAGAACTCCCGGAGTCCGCTCGTATCCATCCAATAAAAAAGCGATTTCAAAAGTTTCTTACCGATTAAACTATTTCGAGTAAGATGATAAGTCCTCTGGGCAATCCACAAGACTTTTAGGCATGATATTTTCATATGATATTTGAAAAATGAGAAAACAATTTTCAAAATTTCTCATTTGATCTTTTTTGAAAATGAAATTTTTGAAAAGTAAGAAAATAATTTCCAAAGTTTCTTACCTAGTAGACTATTCCAAAAGCTAAAAAGTCCTCAAGGCATCTGTAAGTCTTTCAAGCTTTATGATTAAATCATCCAGATCATCTGAAAATCTTTCGAGCAGGATGATAAGTCCTTCAGGCCATGTATAATACCTTCAAACAAGATGATTTTGTATGCTATTTGTGAAGAAATGAGAAAGATGTCTTCAAAATTTATCATTTAATGTTTTCACTCGAAACAAAATCTTATCTCACTTGAAATTATCTTTTTAAAACAATTTCGTCTCACTGAGATTGTTTTTCTTTAAAAATTGTCTCACTTGAAATTGTTTTTCTTAAAATAAATTTCGACTCACTAATTTTTTTTTCTTTAAAAAAATCATCTTACTTGATATTGTTTTTTCTTAAAACAAATTTCATCTCACTTGAGATTCTTTTCTTAAAACAAATTTCATCTCACTTGAGATTCTTTTCTTAAAAACAAAGTTTATCTCGCATGAGATAATATCCTTTGAAACACAAACTTTAAAATCATTTCACTTAAAAGAAATATTATCTCAATTGAGATTATTTTTCTTAAAATAAATTTCGTCTCACTTGAGATTGTTATTCTTAAAATAAATTTCGTCTCGCTTGAGATTGTTTTTCTTAAAATGAGTTTCATCTAACTTGAGATTTTTTTTCTAAAAACACATTTTATCTCACTTGAGATTGTTTTCCTTGAACACAAATTTTAAGATCAGTTCACTTAAAAAAGAAAATTTTATCTTACTTGAGATTGTTTCTGTCGAAACAAAAATTTTATCTCGCCTGAAATAGTTTCGCTTGAAATACAAACTTTGAAAAGTTTTACTCGAAAGAAATATTTTTATCTCGCTTGAGATAGTTTCCCTTGAAACATAAAATTTGAAATCATTTCACTCGAAAATTTTTATCTCGTCTGAGATAGTTTATCTTGTAGTACAAACTTTGAAAACTTTCACTTGAAAGAATTTTTTTGTCTCGCTTGAGATAATTTCCCTTGAAATACAAATATTGAGATTGTTTCACTTGAAATAAAATTTTATCTCTTCTGAGATAATTTCCCTTGAAATACAAACTTTGAAATTGTTTTACTAGAAAAAAATCATCTCACTTGAGATTGTTTCTTTGAAAACATGTTATTTTCCTTACTCAGAACAATTTTTTAATTTGCCATGAAATCACTTCCTTCTAGACATATGACTTCGAAGAAATGTGGAATCGAATAAAAAGTCGTTGTCTTTTCGTTTTTACCCTACTCTTATTTACACAAAAAAAAAAGAGATCATTGTAGACACTCATTTTCATATGAAGGATTAACATGAGCATTTATTTTTAATTTTTAATCCTTTACTTTCATTTGAGTTATTTTAACTATATTATTTTAATTTTAAAGTTATTATTAATACTTTTTTTTTTGAAACGTGGAAAGGCGTTATGTATTATAAATGAAAGAGAGCTAGCTGTTCGACACTCGTACAATTGTAAACCAAACAATCCATCGAAAATCAAAACAAAATTTTAAGCAAAAATAAATAAAACAAAAACACCAATTAAATATAAATCGGCTATCCATCTTCCATTCCCAACAGCAAACAAAACGATAACCACACAGCAGCAAGGAAGTTCAAAGTTGTAGGTTAGAAGCGGGCAATCCAAAACCCGAAAACCACCAAACTGTCACGGAGGGTCCAGGAAGCGTCTGTCTTCAGCTATCCGAGCCATCACTGGCAGTGGAACGTCTTCAATCCGGTCGGAATCTTCATTTCCCAGACTTGCCTCAGAATCTAAGGTATGAGCCGCTTTGTTTTCCAATCTTGGAATATACTAAAACTTACAATCCCCCGATAGCTATATTCTCCATTTCGCTTCCCAGGAGGACTAATTTTCGATCTATCATGAGCTACAGAAAGGATCTTTAGCACCACGGAACGAGCATCGCCTTCAAAACTCACTCTCGTGAAACCCATGCCTTGGGTAAATTCCAAAGCATGAAGAGTCGCCCAGCCTCCGCAGCAAATGCCGAGGTGACGTTCTCCACCCACCTTTGACACGCTCCCAAAATATTACCCTCATCCTCTCTTATTACCACTACTGACCAAGCTTGTTTATTGAATTGCAGGTACATGGAATCAAAGTTTGCCTTTACAAAACCAGGAGGGGGAGCCCAATCCATCCACCTACACAGTCGTAGCAGAGTTGTAATCGAGGCAATGAGATCTAACGAAGGTAACAATTTCATTTCCCCGAGTAATTTTAACAATTTCATTTCCCTGATTAATTTTGCCTTCATGAGAATGCTTGTTTCTAGCAAACTAAAGAGCCCACACTGTAGTTAAAACTTGAGCATGCTTCAAACTCGGGTAGTGCTCCTCGAGTAGCGAACCTAACCATTGAGTGAAACTCCACTGCCTGCCCACCACATGCCAAGTGATATTTAGGAGTGGCTACACGGAGCATGCTAAGCCACATTTTCGAGCGATATGAACACTCAATTCTACCTTAGTAAAGCATTGTTTACAAACTGGATCGCTAGTGATCCTTCTAGAGTATAATACCTGATGAGTAGTAACAAAATTATGGATAAATTTCCACACCTGCAACTTGATTTTACTTTGACATTGCACACCCTATAACCTTTACGACTCTCACGCTTATTAACAAATGAGTGTAACAACTCATACGCCAACAAGATGTTGTCAGAGACAAGTCTGCTCGGTACGAAAGCACTTTTTGTATCATCGATACAAAGATAAAGAAAAGATTGCATTCCATTAACCAACATCTTTGATATTATTTTATAAAGCACATTACACAAGCCGATTGGCCTAAAGTGAGAAAGTCTCACAGGTTCACGAACATTGGGAATAAACACAATATGGGTGGAGTTAATATCTGACATATCAGTCCTTTGATGCTTCGAATAATGTAACAACAATCAGTGCAAGCATACACTTTTGTATCAACTAATAAAGTAGATGCAAATTAATGCATCGAGTATCGTATCTACAGAGACTAGTATTATTTAGATAATTGCTATAGCATTTAGTAAGTAAAAAAATAGAATTTTATAGGTCATGTTGTAAACAAATCAATAAAAATATAAAAGCTAAAATAAATATGTGAATAAAGATATTAAGGGATGAAGGGAATCACAGTAGTGGCAATGAAATCAGTGGATCGACTCAAGCTAAAGATTATGGTATTGTTAAACTCAATCGTGCAATTAATGATGTCACAGAAATGCGTCTAGCATTAGTGATATGATCTCGATTATATGTTTCGAGTCATATATGTGAATGTCCGATCGTGATTCTAGTAAAAAACCCCGTAATGATAGCTTGAACTATGAAATTACATAAATATAAACATAAGAAGGAAATGATATGAAATAATAATTGAAATGATGGAATGAAAAGAATGAGGAAATTGTTTGAAGGTGATGGAAGAGTGATGGTTGTTGTGGTTTGATGATAATGAAAATAGATGGTGAAGTATGAATGGCGTTGTCGTGGCAAATGGTGTTGTTGTGGCAAAGTGTGTAAGGATAAAGCGGATTGTGACCCGTTAGCTATTTGGAGCTAAGAACCAACAATATAAAAAAAATTGGAATTGAAATGGTAGGGTATGGAACGTGACCCACTAGCTATATATGAGCTGGGAACCAACGCTATAACAAAAGGAAATGGATGAAGACTACAAGACTATCTTGAAGCCGATAAAGTTCTACAAGAGAACAAGAATGAAAGCAACCTCTCAAAGATGTTTTATATATTCCAATCTGTCCTACAAATGATCCCAAAGGTGTCTATTTATAGTATTTTCTAAGAAGCATATGAAAAGACTCAAAAGATGAAAACATTCTCATCAATTTAGCAATAAAATGCACTTGAATGCTTTGTCTTCTTATCTTCAAAGTTGGATGAATATTCTAGATCATTTTGGGGATGAATCTAGACAATTTGAAGCTGAATTTGGCCTTAATTTCGTCCAAGGGGTGGAAGACTCTTGCTATTCCATGCTGAAAATTGTCTTGATAAGTGAATTAAATCACCCTTCATTGCATGCTCCCTTGAAGAATATGAACAGCCCTTGAACTTAGATGATAACAATCAACTTTGAATGCTTTTAATAGGTGAATTAAGAGTCCTTCAATGGCTTGTCACTTGGCTGAAGTTGAAAAGACTCTCCCTTGGCTCAAACTCATCCAAATCATCCATGCATAAAATTCCCGTAACAAAATTCCAGCCTGCACTGTCTTCAATAAATCGATCATATCTCAAGCTCCTGATATCGGATTAAGGTGATTCAAAAGGCGTTGGAAAGCTAAGAGATAGAGGAATAATGTCCAATTGATTTCTAGAACCAAACACATCTGTATCGCATCCAGAATTGGAAGACATTCTGACTGACATTCTTGCATATGATGAAACCATTTAACTTCTCTTATGCACCTAGACACAAAGGTGAACTTTATTCAATATTTAATTGAAAACATGCATGAAAAAATTAAGAGTTAATATAATAAAAGAACTAATTTGATGAATGAACTAGATGATTTAAATGCAATGCATGCTTGAATGAACAACACACTTATTAAATGCAATGAATGTTATGCAAACTTTAAATTCTCATGCAAATTCATGCATAAGCAAAGTAAAGTATTCCTCCCTTATTATTCCTTTTTCATCACGTTCCAAACGTGATGTAAACATACTCTCCATAGCTGCTTGAAATTCCTTAGCCCTTGCTCGTGTGATGGGGCCACTTGGGTACTTCTCCGGGTCTTTGCTATTGGCTATCATATCAGTCCCTCCCTCTTTAAAGCGATTTGTCCCCAAATCATCACCTATATCATAAGGAGACAAGTCAACAACATTGAAGGTTGCACTGACATTAAACTCACCTGGAATATCTAATTGATAGTCGTTGTCATTGATCTTCTTGACTATTTTGGAATGGTCCATCTCCCCGAGGCAGTAATTTGGACTTTCGTTGTGCCGGAAACCTTTCTTTCCTCATGTGCAGCCACACCCAATCCCTTGGCTCAAAAGTATTTCGCTTACGACCCTTACTTGCTTGCTGCTCGTATTGCTTAATTCGTTTTTCAATGTTCTCCCTTACTTGTTGATGAAGCTTCTTAACAAACTCAGCTTTGTTAAGTCCATCTTTATTCACAATTTGATCAGCAGGTAATGGTAGCAAGTCTATCGGTGTTAATGGATTAAACCCATACACCACTTCGAAAGGCGTACGCCCCGTAGTAGTATGGATTGAACGGTTGTATGCAAACTCCACATGTGGTAAACTCTCCTCCCATGTTCTCAAATTCTTCCGAATGATAGATCGAAGTAACATGGAAAGTACTCGATTCACCACTTCAGTTTGACCATCCGTTTGAGGGTGACAAGGGGTGGAGAATAGTAACTTAGTACCAATCTTACTCCATAGGGCTCTCCAAAAGTGGCTTAAGAACTTCACATCCCGATCAGACACAATAGTTCTTGGTATACCATGTAGCCTTAAAATTTCCCTGAAAAACAAAGTAGCAATATGTGAGGCATCATTAGTTTTGTCACAGGGAATGAAATGAGTCATTTTGGAAAATCTATCAACAACTACAAAGATGGAGTCTTTATTGTTCTTTGTGCGAGGAAGCCCTAGCACAAAATCCATTGAAATATCCATCCATGGTGCTTCCGGTATGGGTAGTGGTGTGTAAAGTCCATGTGGAATGACTTTAGATATGCCCTTCTTGCAAGTAATGCAACGCTCACATAACCTTTCCACATCTCGTTTCATTTTGGCCCAATATAGATGTTCTTGAAGTATAGCCAAAGTCTTTGATATCCCAAAATGTCCCCATTAATCCTCCTCCATGGGCTTCCTTAGTAAGCAATTCTCGCATGGAACCTTGAGGGACGCGTAATCTCCCTTCCTTGAATAGAAAACCACCATGCTTAAAGTATTTATCAATTGTCCCTTTCTCACAAGCTTTATAAATTTCCCCAAAATCAGAGTCAGAAACATATAAGTCTTTAATAAGTAAAACCCAACAACTTAGATTCCAAAGTGTTTAAAAGAACATACCTTCGTGACAATGCATCGGCAACTATATTCTCCTTACCTTTCTTGTACTTGATAACATATGGAAAAGTTTCAAGAAACTCTACCCATTTGGCATGCCTTTTGTTGAGTTTATGTTGCCCCCGAATATGTTTCAACGCCTCATGATCGGTGTGAATGATGAACTCCTTAGGCCAAAGGTAGTGTTGCCATGTGTCCATTGCCCTCACAAGAGTATACATCCCTTTGTCGTAGGTAGGATAGTTAACCGTAGCTCCACTTAATTTCTCACTAAAAATAGGCTATAGGACGTCCACCTTGAGACAAGATTGCTCCAATTCCTACACCTGATGCATCACATTCAATTTCAAAAGTTAAATTAAAATCAGGTAGAACAACTAAAGGGGCATGTATTAAACAATCTTTAATTCTATTAAAGGACTTCTCTTGATCTTCCCCCCAAAAGAATTTAGAATTCTTCTTAATAACACTTGTTAGTGGGGCGGCTATGGTGCTGAAGTTTGGGACGAATCTCCGATAAAAACTTGCAAGTCCATGGAAGCTCCTAACTTGAGAAATGCTTGTTGGTCGTGGCCACTCTTCAATGGCTTTAACCTTCTCTTTGTCAACCTCAAAACCTTCAGAACTCACAACGAAACCTAGGAAAACAACCCTGTCAGTACAAAACGTACATTTTTGTAAATTAGCAAACAATTTTTCCTTCCTCAAAACAAGTAAAACTGGCCTCAAATGTTGAACATGTTCTTCCATGGTTTTACTATATATTATAATGTCATCAAAATAAACCACACAAAACTTACCCAAGAATGGCCTAAGAACATGATTCATTAACCTCATAAATGTGCTTGGTGCATTAGTTAAGCCAAAAGGCATAACCAACCACTCATAAAGACCTTGCTTCGTTTTGAATGTTGTTTTCCACTCATTACTTTCCCGCATTCATATTTGGTGGTAACCACTCTTAAGATCAATCTTGGAAAAGAGGTTAGAATCGTTAAGCTCATCTAACATGTCATCTAAGCGAGGAATAGGGTGACGATACTTTACCGTAATTTTGTTTACCGCTCGACAATCCACATACATGCGCCAAGTTTCATCTTTCTTTGGCACAAATAGAATCGGCATGGCACATGGGCTAAGGC